ATATATATATATTGTTTTACCAAAAAGTCATTCAAGTTTATCTAATAGCCTGTTTGGCCAAGCTTTTGGAAGGAAAAAAAAGTATTTTTGAGGAGAAGCAGAAACAGTTTTTGAGAAGCAGAAAAAAAATAGCTTCTCTCCAAAATCACTTTTCTGAGAAGCACTTTTGAGAAAAATACACTTAGAAACAGTTTTCAAAAGCTTGGTTAAATACTAATTACTGCTCAAAAGTGCTTTTCAAATTAATTAGCCAAACACAAACTGCTTCTCACCAAAAGCACTTAAGCACTTCTCAAAATAAGCTGATTTTAGAAGCTTGGCCAAACAGGCTATAAGTATTTTTGCGTAGAAGCAGAAGTAGTTTTTGATATGTAAAAAAAAAGTTCTAAATTTCTTCTAAAAAGTATTTTTTTGAAAAGCACCTTTGTAAAAAATACATATAGAAGCACTTTTGAAAGAACTACATATAGAAGCACTTTTTAAAAGTTTGATAAAATACTAATGGTTGCTCAAAAGTGTTCTCTAAATTAATTAGTTAAATACTAATGATTTTTCATTAAACACGCTATCAATGTTTGTAAACAACTATTAATTCTCTAAATCTACGCTTTAAAGTACGGCGTTAGAGAAGAAAACAAGCGTTGGGTTTTTGTTTTTGGAGTTTAAAGATATAAACTGTTTGGGGTGTCAAAATTTGATGGTTCCTTTGGCTTCGTCTCGAACTCTGGAAATTTGTAAAGATGCAGCTGGAATCGCCGGTACACCTCATTTTCTCTCTGTATTACTGCCCTTTTTTCATAAAGATTTGGGCTTGTATTTTTGTGGTTTCTGCAAATATCTTCGTCTCAGTTCCTTGCAATTTTCCCTGTTTGCATCAGCTAGCTGAGTCAATCAGAAGACAATTTCTGAATTTTATATAGAATCATATGAAATTCCTTTAACAAAATGATCTTACTTTCTGGAAGATAAATTAAGCTAGCTAAGTGAACAACTATTTTTAACTCTGCTAATGAAGGGCATATACTTACTTTCTGAATTTTATACAGTTACTCTCTGAATTCTATATAGTTACTTTCTGGAAGTTGTAAGTTTAACATATTTCAAAAGGGGTGATCATCACTCTGCTAGTGAAGGGCATGAGTAATATGTATGCAGTTAGTTTCCATTATTGTTTGCTAGGAGGCGGAACCAAGATTTCGAGCTTATGGGTTCGGGAGTCAATTCCTTTTAAGTTATTGGGTTCTAAATTAATAATTTGTACATATTCAATGTACTTACTAAGATAAATACATAGTTTTAATCAAAGTTACTGGGTTCAGCCGAACCCATAGTCGGCACTCTGGCTCCGGCCCTGGCTTAGTACTGTGTATTGTTTGGCTCTAAACTTCTAAATTGTTTCGCGGATGGTTATCCAAGGTTTAAGCCCGTAAAGTTTGGCCGTATTTGCTGCTAGCTTTTGCAGAAGTACTTTTTGTTGGATCTTCTGAAAATTGTTTGTAAAACAAATATATACGTATAACTTATTCACTTAAGTGTTTTGTAGAATAAATTTGTAAAGTATTTTTACGGTGTAATTCAGAAAGCTAACGTCTTATAGAACTAACATAACTTAATCTGATGGTATGCAAACAGTTGTAGACCTGAAATGGTGTCTAACTTTTAGGCCTAGAGGAATTTTAGAAGCTCCGTTTGAGCTAAAACTTGTTCAGATTAAACTCTTGATGAAGTGTTTTTCATGTTAAAAACGCAATTGCTCAAACACATTGGAGTCTTATGCCTGGCCTTAAAATGAAATAGATTGTAAAGGACCAGTGAGATAATACCCTTTATTTCTTACGTCATTCTTTCGTTGCGTAATTTTTCCCTTTTTTGCTTAATGAGGTTAGCAAAATTATTCTTGAGCTTTGTAGTGACTCAAGAGAAAAATTAACCATCTTGGCTGCTTGTTGCAGGGAACATCTTTGCTTTTGGGTTGTTCCTGTCTCCAATGTATGTTTTAAACTTTGCATAGTTCGTTTTGCTTTACCTCCTGTCTCCAATGTATGTTTTAAACTTTGCATAGTTCGTTTTGCTTTACCGCACTTCCATAATATTGAACAACTTCTTTTTCATAATCTGTTACATTTTATCTTTACTCTCAGACCTACATTCAGGAGAATAATGAGAAATCAATCAACTGAACAGTTCTCGGGGTTGCCATACATATATGGGCTCTTGAACTGCTTGATCTGTGCTTGGTACGGCACACCTCTTGTATCTCCTGACAATTTGTTGGTAACAACAGTCAATTCAGTTGGTGCTGTTTTTCAACTTGCCTACATTGTACTTTTTGTAATGCATACAGAGAAAGAGAAAAAGGTTAATAATCCTCTTTTGTATTTTGATTTAAAGCAGTTCCACAAATTTTCGGATGTTGCACTTGTTCATTTAGTAGCCTTTTAAATTGTATGCCCATCAATGTTGTTTGTAGTTCAGGATGCTGGGATGCATACTCACAGTCTTTGGCCTATTTGCTATTATTGTAATTGGAAGCTTGCTTATACTTGACCTTCAACTCCGGCGCATCATTATTGGCTCCCTGAGTTGTGCTTCCCTCATATCAATGTTTGCCTCCCCACTGTTTATTATTGTATGTCTGGTCGTTGACATTCGGATTCTCTACGACTATTTCTATCAAGTTCTTATTCTCTAATGCTTTTCTGCTGATTCACTGACTAACTCGTCTTCCAGAATCTGGTGATCAGGACCAGGAGCGTCGAATTCATGCCATTTTACCTGTCCCTCTCCACCTTCCTAATGAGTGCCTCTTTCTTTTTGTATGGAACTTTCAGTTTTGATCTGTTTATATATGTGAGTTTCTTTCTCCTCTTACATTATACCGGGGGTTAAAGAAAAAGAGGGATGCCAACCTGCTTCCCCTAGTATTTAGGGCAAGATAGACTCAATTATTTTTATAAAAAATGCAAATGTCTTACCCTATTTCTCGCCTGTCTCACGAACCGTCTCTACTTGAATTTCAGGTGCCAAATGGCATTGGAACACTTTTAGGAGTCGTACAATTGCTTTTATTTGCATATTACAAAAATTCTTCTACGGGAGACTCTACTGAACGCTTAGTGGTGTCTTATCCGTTCACCTACGCAGAAAGGTAAATGCTCGATCCCTTTAGCATCTGTTTCATCCAGAAGATTCTAATACTAATCATCTCCAAATGTGCATTTTGTGAACATATATCTCTCTTTCTCAAGCTGTTAACTAAGGAGTATGCTTTTAATTTGTGCAAATCCCTTTATTTTGTCTGTCCTAGGTGAGAATAAGTGCTCGCTGGATTGTATGGAGAATGGTGGAAGCCAAGCACAAGCTGACTGCAGTTTCCTAGTCATTGGACGTCTTCAACTAAACCTGGTTCCTGAATAGTATCTGTTTTCTGCATATATTCTGCCAAGTTGAAACAGGAGAACTTTGTGTGGATCCACAATGCACATTTTCTTTATCTTGTTCCTGTTTTCCTTTTCAAACTCATTCTTCTGATGTGGATGGAATGAAGATGCAGAATTACTTCAAAACAAAGTAATTGATGGTAGCACATATAATTGCGATTGAATTTGTACATTCTTTGTTCTACACTAGACATTATGCTAACGAAGCTGGTATATTATCTATTTTACTAACTCTCACTAATAATAGACTAGACTCAGTGTATTACTCAGTGCTAAAGAAGCTGTTGAATGAAAATCCCCAGATTGCTAAGTGTATTACTCAGTGTGTGTGTGTTTGCATTTGTTTGAAGCCTCTTGTTAAAGTTCCTGGCTCCGCCACTACTTATATGTATGCTTTCAAAGCTAGCAATGGAAACTGAAATATATGAGAAAATGCAAATGCTTTAGGATCACTAGTATTAGTTGTTTCTCTGATGTGTTGCCTTTAATCATTTTATGTTTACCTGATGATAGTTGAATCCATTATCGGTCTGGCGAAGTGGCCCGGCCTCTCTCATCATAGAGAATAAGTCCACTGAACTTTGGTAGCTCACACTTTTCACCCATTAGTATAGGCCTTTGCCACATAGGTGAATTCGAACCGTGATTTTGCTGCATCCCAAAATCAGCTTCAAGCTGACCTGGACTAACGAGCAATGGTGGAAGCTTCTCTTTCTGGCTCCACCGTACAGTGCTCGTTAGTGTCTCCTTCACCGAACCCAACTCTGCACGTGGCTCCGAACAGTCTATGTTTGTTGAGTCATCCATGCACCGTTCTTCATCTTCTGGTCTCTTTCTTGCAATATTTCTCCTGAAAGCAGCAATAATGCAGGTTCCAATAACTAAGGAACAGGTGCAAATTACCAATACTGCAACAGCTCCTTGGGTTGATATTCTCGATTTGTCTTCTACATTCCAAGCTGCTTCCATGTTTTTTCCAGTAGGTGTCAGAAAATGCATGAAAGTCGCAACACTTAATAGGATGGAATAAGAGAATGAGTCTCCATATATTTGGATGGCAAAACTAGACGTTGGTTTGGACTATTGCTAGAACTAGGCGTTTAGTGAGGTTCACCGACAGTTTGGTGCCTGAAAAAATATATTACGTGTGGGTCGTCCATTGAATAATTCGCCATTAGCCGTTAGCATAACTCATCGTTTTGGATGGACTATTAGCCCTTCCCAGGACTGCAGATTGTTATATTTGTTTCTGACTATTGCCAATAGATAGGAGGAATACATGAGATACGGATAACCCACGTCAAATTGATATTCCGAGTCAAATCAGGAAAAAAAAATCCGATTATGGTTTGGTTTGATTTAGTTTGGTGTTGGAAAAAATAAGAAAAAATGACACTGTACAGCTGCTGTAAAAATAATAGCCGAAAAGATGTATAATTGGTTTGGTTTGATTTTAACTAAAAAAAGTCAAATCGAAACCAAATCAATCCGATAATTACATGTATACAAGTTTTAAAATATTTTATAAATAAAAATATATATATTATAATGTAATTTATAGATATTTTTAAAACTTTTTCATAGTTCTCTTTTTCAACATATTATTTCATGCTCGGACTTCGAATTTTGAAATGGTCCAATACGTTTTATAGTCTATTAGTATTGGTAACTCAAATAAAGCCCAAAGCAAAACTAAGTCAATATAATACTAACAAAAGAAATTTTATTCAATACTAGGAATGATAATAGTGTTGGATATCTATTTTTTAGTTTTGCATTGGTTTAGACACTGAAATTGCATAACTTCTTTATTTTTTTTTATTTTTTAGTTATGTAATTAATATTTAGAACTTATTAGTCGTACTTATTTTAGCATGACTTAGTACTTTTAAATTATGTTTAATTTATTATGGCTTATTAATTAGCAAAATTTATTCTATACCATTTCATTATTTTATTGTTGAATATTTTAGTATAATATCATGACTCATCTCATATTATTTTGGTGTTATTTTCTTGAGTAACACCTTGTATAGTTGTATCCTCCAAGGACCAAAGAAATATTTGGAGCACAAGTTATATGTTCTGTGCTATGAAGATTTTACCGGGAAAATCCCTAAGAACACGAGAAAATCGAAAAACTCGAGATTAAAAAGGCCAACTTTTGTTGGTTTGGTTTAGTTTCTATATTTAAAAATCCGACACAATTGGTTTGGTTTGATATTTAAAAAACCCGAACCAACCTGACCAATGCACATCCCTTACTAGTCATTGGTAACAAAATGGGAATCTGAACTCTGTACCATACTATCTTAAGACTGATATTGCATCAGCAAAAACTGCAGAAACGGATAGTACTTTCATATATAATTGAGGATCGAGTTGATTCTTTTGAATCTTAACTGAGGATGAGTTAAACTCTAAATACATCATCAGTGTTAGTTTTTAAGAGATAAACATAATATTGTTGCATGAAAATTTGTACATTCTTGCGCATAGATTATACTATTATGTTTATATATTTTTTTTCCTATGTTTCTTAATTATTTAAATCTCCTAATTATTACTATGTCTGTTTGACCAAAAAGTATAAACTTTTGATTAAACTATTAAATCTTATGTAATAAAGGGTTAAACCTAGTTAATGATAATATCTCCAGATTTAGAACTAGTTAGTATAAATAACGAGAGATAATGCTACTGGGGGACTGAAAATAGTGTGCATTTAATATTCCAAAGGATTTTCGCAATAATAGAGGAACATCAAGCAATAAATAGCAATAAATGACATTTATGTAAATAAGAGAATGATTCACCCAATATTGAATGAGGTGGATGATTCTTCTTTCTGACAGTAATGAATGACACACAAATCCTAGAATATTGGAACTATTCTCGGATCTGATAGAAAAGTATAAAATAATAGATGATGGAATCTTAGTAAAAAAGTAGAGTTTGTATCTTTGTTAGAGAGAGAGTCTTCTTCTCAAAAAGTGTTCTTATCAAATGAATATACATGCCTCATCCCCTTATCGCTTTTTCTATTTATATGAGTCATATCCCTAATCATCCCTAATAGTACAAATGCAGAGAATGTTCAATGAAATATTCTCTTTAGTATCTTATTACAAAAACTAGCCGTTAGTGCTCTGTCCTTCGTGCTCGGCCTTGACCATTGTTGACCGCCCGACCACGAATCCTACTGTTTCTTAGTCGACCTCGACCGCGTCTTTTTCCTTAATACCATTTTATGCTAAATTCCCTTAGAGTAGATTTTGACCTATACAATTAGCCCCTCCGCTTATTGAGGCTGAGCCTGGACGACCTCGATGAGCGGACTCTGTTAGTTGTGGTTGAGAAGTTTAGGCGAGCAGGTCGAGCAGTAGCATTTCAGGCGATGTAGCAACGTGGACTTTCGTGAGACGCAACCTAAAGTCATGTCGATTCAGAGTGACGTCATGATATCATGCGTCATTATTATGCATTTTTCCGATGCCTTGCATCGCTTCTCATGCCTCTGCCATTTCGATACCTTCGCTGGGCAGTAACGATTTGTTTTCTTGGTATTGATGCCTGAATTCTTATAAATAGGGATATGAAACCCTTTGCCATATTCTTTGCACTCTAGATATTGAACCCTTGTATCTTCTTCTTCCTTCTTCATTCAGAGTTCTTGCCCTCTTGACCTTACTTCCCTATTTTGCTTTCCCTGATTCTAGTGATTTCTGTTGCTCCTAACCCTCCTGTGCTTGCAATACCTTTTCTAAAGAACAATGGTTAACGTTTCTTCTAGCTTCGGTGGGGCAACTGACCTTGTTCCTTTGGCAGTGCGCATGCCTCCCCATGATGATAGTGTTTCAATTGTTGTTAAAGACGAGAACTTTCCTATGGTGGAGGAGATAATCCCTCGTAGTGAAAAAACCAGATCTGATTTTTCGAAGGTGCCTGAAGACGACCCTGAGATCTCGGAGTCATTGATGAAAGAGGCTGACCTCGCCGAGTTTACGGAAAAATTCAAAATTCCTGCTCATATCGACCTAATTCCAGCTGGGTGCGACGTGGTACAAATACACCGCCCTGGGTATTGCGCCTTCTACGCGTACCCCTTCCACGTCGGCTACTCCTTTCCTATTCTCCCACTAGCTAAGGAATTATGTCGCTATTACGGCATCTGCCCGGCCCAACTATCCCCATATATCTACAAACTTATCGGCATGCTTACGAAGTATGCGGAATTAGCCGGGGTCGGGGTGTCGCTTTGCCACTTAATGCATCTCTTCACCCCTAGCTTTCATAGGGGACGATGTTACATCTTCGCCACCGGGGAAGCAAATGTTTAGTGGTGAAGATGGACGAGAAGGTGAATTGTCAGTTTTGGCTCAACTACTTCTTCGTCAAAACTGAGGACGTGGTGATCAATGCAAACGGGTTTCCCGAGGTTTGGAACTATGCCCGTAAGTATCTCTCGCTTTTTTTTTTATATTGAGCATTGCTTCTTCTAATTTCAGTCGTATTGACATTTTGTTATCTCTTCGTATATCCGAGACCGCACCCCCTCCTTTGGTCGAAGACATTCATGATTGGGTTAGTTGGGTCTTGCCTCATACAACGGGGATTCGCGAATGGTCGGCCTTCCTCAAGAAGTTCGGGCCTGCGCCTTCTATGACCGGTGAGTTTACCCATTTAAATTTATATTTTCGTGGCCTTCTGGTCGCTTGCTTCTTATTATTTTACGGGGACCAACCTTTTAACCTTCTTTTTTAGCTCGGGGATCCTCGAGAAGGCCGAGGGCCCCTCCTCCTGCGTTTCGCAAAAGGAACACTACAACTTCGGAATCCGCTCCTGCTGTGACTGTGGCTAGGCCTGCCCGGCTGTCCACTTCCATTCCGCCTCCTGCTGCAGCTAGGTCAGCTCGCTCATCGACTGCATCAGCATCAGAAACTCCGGCCTCTCCCTTGTTTCATTTAAAAGATGAAAAGTCATCACCGAGCGAGGAGGGTTTGATCTCTCGTAAAAAGAGGTCGGTGGACATCGGCGGTGGGACAATATGAGCCGTAGATTTAACAAGGGGTGATCATGAGCCGGTCACCATCATGCTTGAAGATGATGCAGATCTGCGGTCTGAAGTCCCTCTATCAGCGGGGGTCATGGAAGGCGTACCCTTCCACGATG